GTGCAACACATTTCTGAAGTCTTGATTGCCAAGAGACAGCTCATCCGGCAAATCTCATCATGTATCCCGTCGTCGACTTCCTCGAGTCGAAATCTCCCCTTAAATCAGAATCCGAGTAGCCTTGCAACTCGGCTTTGCCTTCTCCAAAGCAGAGACATAAGTCTGTCGTACCTCGGAGGTACTTGAAGATCCACTTCACTGCTTCCCAGTGCTCTTTGCCGGGGTTTGACAAATACCGGCTTACCATTCCAACAGCATACGCCAAGTCGGGTCTAGTGCAAACCATTGCATACATCAAGCTTCCGACGGCGGATTGGTACGGGACCTTCATCATCTCATCTTTGTCTTCATCAGATCTCGGACATTGCTTCTGGTTCAGCTTTATGTGTCCGGCAAGGGGGGTGCTCACTGTTTTGGCTTTGTCCATGCTGAATCTCTTCAGAATCTTCTCAATATATTTCTCTTGACTCAGCCACAATAGCTTCTTCTGTCTATCTCGGATAATCTTTATTCCGAGAATCTGCTTTGTAGGGCCGAGGTCCTTCATTGCGAAGGACGAGCTCAACGCCTTTTTCAGGGCGGCTATCTTCGATTTGTCTTTCCCTACAATAAGCATGTCGTCAACATATAACAACAAAATCAGAAAATCTCCGACCTCATACCTCTTCACAAATACGCAGTGGTCGGCTTCAGTCTTCTCAAACTTGTGATCAGTCATGAATGATTCAAACTTCTTGTACCACTACCGAGGTGCTTGCTTCAAGCCATAAAGGCTCTTTTTCAAACGACATACCAAGTCTTCTTGGTCTGGAGCTTGGAATCCTTCTGGTTGCTCCATATATATCTCTTCTTCTAAATCACCGTGAAGAAATGTTGTCTTCACGTCCATTTGTTCTACCTCGAGGTCCATTGAAGCCGCCATGGCTAACACGGTTCGGACCGAGTCATTTTCACCACAGGAGAAAAAATCTCCTCAAAATCAACTCCTTTCTTCTGATTGCAGCCTTTCACTACAATCCGGGCTTTGTATCTCAGCTTTTGCCCGTTCTCTTCATTCTTAATCTTGTAGACCCATTTATTCTTCAAAACTCGTCTTCCTTTAGGCAACTCGGTCAGCTCATAAGTCTGATTCTCGTGCAGAGACTTCATCTCGTCTTGCATAGCCTTTTCCCATTCTTCTTTCTCTGAGCTCATCACAGCCTCATCATAACTCTGATGCTCACCGTCTTCAGCAACAACGGTGTATTCATCAGATGGGTATCTTGTAGAGGGTCTTCTTTCTCGAGTTGGATATCTCGACTGTTCTTCATCTTGAGAACCCGGTTCATCAATTTCATCCCGAATCTCATCATCAACTCAGACCTCAGTGTCTTGGTCATCTTCAGCTTGTTGCTGATCATCATTTTCTTCATTTTTTTGATTTTCTCCCACTGCTTCAGTTCGGACAGAAGGGATGGGTTCTTCACTTCTGACAGTAACCCGGACTTTGGGCTTCAAGATGTCATGAATGTTCTCATGCTCATGAAAGATCACATCTCGACTTCTCACGATCTTCTTATTGATTGGATCCCAAAGTCGGAACCCGAACTAGGATTTCGGTGAACCGAGATAGATGCATTCTTTTGTCTTCGCATCAAGTTTTGCCCTTTCATCTTTAGGGATATGAACGAAAGCTCGGCATCCAAACACCTTCAATTGATTGTAGGCCGCTTTCCGACCTGTCCAGACTTCTTCTGGAATTTCTCCTTCAAGTGGCCGTGATGGTGAGAGGTTGATCAAGTCAACAGCTGTTTTGACGGCTTCTCCCCAGAATGATTTCGGTAACCCGGCATTGGATATCATGCTTCGTACCTTCTCTTCAATAGTTCTGTTCATCCTCTCAGCCAGTCCATTCAACTGTGGAGTCTTGGGGGCGTCTTCTCAAGTCGAATCCCGGCTGCTCTGCAGTATGCATCAAATGGGCCGCAATACTCACCACCATTATCAGATCGGACCACCTTCAATTTCTTGCCAGTCTCCCTTTCAACCATAGCATGGAATTCTTTAAAGGATTGGAGTACCTGGTCTTTAGACTTCAACAAATATACCCACACTTTGCGGGAATGGTCATCAATAAATGAAACAAAGTACTGAGCTCCTCCAAGAGATTTCTCCGACATGGAGCAAACATCAGTATGGACGAGGTCAAGAATATTCCTTCGTCTTCTTGGTTGATCCGGTCTCACAAAAGAAACCCGGTGCTGCTTTCCAGCTAGGCAGTGCGTGCAACTCTCCAACGCTTGGCCTTTCAACCCGGTCAATAATCCTTTCTTGTTCAGGATCTGTAACCCTTTCTCGCTCATGTGGCCGAGGCGCTTGTGCCATAGCTCCAAGCTAGATTCATCTCGAACAGAATTGGCTTCTCCGCCATTGATCTTTCCTTGCATCACGTACAAGGAGCCTTCCTTCTTACCTCGGGCCACGACCAAGTTTCCCTTGGCCAGCTTCCATCTCACACTACCAAAGTAGTTCACTAACCCGGCATCATCAAGTTTTCCTACCGAGATTAGGTTCAAACGCATGTCAGGAACATGCCTTACATCTTTCAACACAAGTCGGCATCCGACATCTGTGGTCAGAGTTACATCACCGACATCAACAATCTTGCTGGTCACCTGATTTCCCATCTTCACGACTCCAAAATCACCACCTCGATAAGAAGAGAAAAAACCTTTGTGTGGAGTAACGTGGAAGGAGGCACCGGAGTCAACAATCCAGGTGCAGTCATCATAAGCAACATTCAAATAATTATCCTCACCAAGGAGGAATATCTCAGCATCAGGGTTTGCAGCCACCGCAGTGGTGCTCTTGTCTTCCCTCTTCTTGGGAATAATCTGATTCGGCTTCACAAAGTCGTTCTTCTCATCATTCTGTAGGGTCCAGCAGTCTGGCTTCTTATGGCCTGTCTTTCCACAGTAAAAGCACTTCAACTCATATTTCGGCTTTGACCGACCTCTGGACTTGTCTCGTCTGTCACGACCTCTACCTCGGCTTTTGCTTCTACCGCGGGAGTCGGATTTCCCTTTGTTCTCAGCAACGTTGGCCTCAGACGTACTCGAAATACCTCGTTCTCTTCTCCTGGATTCTTCGCCCAGGAGGCTGTCTGTCACGACATCCATCTTCAATTTTCCATCTGGAGTCGAGTTATTCAGGGTCACCACCAGAGTATCCCAGCTTTCTGGCAGCGAGCTCAACAGCAGCAATGCCTGCAATTCTTCATCAATTTTCATATCAGCCTTTGACAGCTGATTTACAATACCTTTGTAGGTGTTCAATCATGCTCATGCCGTCCTTGTATTCAAGCTTAACAAGTCGACGAACCAGGTGTGCTTTGTTCCTAGGAGTCTTCTTCTGAATCATGGACTCTAATTTCGTCCACAACTCATACGCGTTCGTGAATTCAGACACGTGCTCAAAGAGGCTTTTATCAATATATTTCCTGATCGTGGCTACCGCCTTCCGACTCAGGATCTCCCACTCCTTATCTGTTTTGCCTGCCGGTCTCTCATCAAGGATAATGGGCTCATGTAGATCTTTACAGTAGAGATGATCTTCCATCATCGGTCTCCAATAAGTGAAGTTGTCTGTGGTCAACTTGAACATATCTCCATCATGAGTTATGCCACTGGTCTCCATCTCGTCTCCCTCAGAACCCATCGAACTCGGGCTCTGATACCACTGTTGGGAAAACTCAGTTCCCTCAGATCGGCTCAGGGGCCTTTGTGCGAAAGTCAATCAACAAGATCCTGATCTCGGATCTCGACAATACCTCGGCCTGAACTTCACCAGGTCAGGCAGCGCAGCGGAAAAATCAAAACGAAAACACAGGAGAGAGAGAGAAGAACACAACCAGATTTAACGTGGGAAAACTTTTTCCAATGAAGAAGTAAAAACCAACGGGACCTAGTCCAGATCAAAAATCCACTATGAAAATAATGGTTACAACAAATCAAATACACCAATGTGGTGGTTAACTCAACCTCTCCAACAATGGTGATAATCAAACTACCCTAGAGATATTTCACTCAAACTCTCTCTAGAGATCTCTCAAATGCAAAGCATAAAGCTTTACTCAAACAATCAAATAATTTTTCTCTCAAATTTGTTCTCTCAAATCTGACCTAGCCTCCACCCTCAACTAATGAGTATATATAGAGGAGGTGGAAATTAGGGTTAGGATTTTTAGGAAATCCCTTAAATGGGCTTGGGCTTAGTATTGAAAGAGGAAGCCCAACATTCATTATACCTGATATTCAAATTAGAGATGAAAATAAACTAAAAATCCTGTCTCAAATCTTATAGGCCCTTATTTCAATTAGTCAAGTATGTGAATATTATAAAAATTAGAAAAAATGACTGAAACTACAAAATCTGCTTTAAATCATAGAATATGGAGATAACTTCCTAGAAGATACAAGAGTAAAATTAGGACTTGGATCTAAGCTATTGAAGTGGAGAACAGACTAACACCAAACTTGCAGAAGTATCTATTCTAGTCCTTGATAAGCTGTTAGCATTCAGCCTTACCATGAGACACGGGCTTTGTAATGCTAATTGCACATTTAGTAATCTATATATAGCAGATTGGTTAGAATCATTGCTTGTCCAAAAGATAAAATCATCCTATGAAAGAAATTAATTTCTGGCCAAATTTGGGTAAGACATACATACATTACAATCAGAACCCTAATGCTATGAAGACAAAAAAAGGAAATCCTTTTGAGCAAACACCTACAATTTTAATCTGAATGTGTGAGCCCCTGCATGAGATAGAGAAAAAGCAAAACATGACCAGCATGAGAAACACTAATTTAATCTTACAGCTCCCTACCATGGTGGTTTTGCACGAGATCAGAATTCAGCAAACAATGGCCACATAATGAACACACTTCAACTCAAATTACAAACAATCATTGATAAAGAAACAGGTAGTTTCATTTGAAAAACAAGACAAAGTCAATATCCTTTAGCTACTAATGAAAAGGCAGAAACACAGTAACTACTTTCAACTCCTCAAATCTCATCTGTTATCATTCAAATGAAAGTTTACAAGTTGCAGAGCACCTTGTGCGAAAGCATATATCTTTTATCATTTTGCGCTTTTCATGTTGATTTCTGAAGAAGCCACTGCTGATTGTCATTGACTGTAAAAATCCTGCATTCTGCAAGATATATCTTGCAAATCGCAACTCACCTTTCCAGCCTTCGTAATTTTTAAGACGGCATGTTTTAAGGTGTAATGAGATGGATTCAGGAACAAATTGTGGGTACGGCCAATCTCCTCCTACTACTGCTTCACCTTCTTCCATTTCATCATAAGGATCATCAATATAACGCTGTTATCAGTAGACATAAAATAAAAATTAATAAAAACATGTGAAGAAAAGATTAAAACAGAAATCATCCTTCAAGACTTAAACTTTACAAACCTGATTAATGACCAAAACTTGAAGCTTAGGGCAACGCTTAAGCACTTCTACTATCTCAAGCCAATCACTGATAAAATATAAATGGATGAGTTCAACATGGGTTAAATTGTGAAACATGGGAATAGGGTCTTTGAAATTGAATCTGCTGTTAATGTTGTCCAGCTCAGACATCTGCAAGAGTTACAATAAGAGACAATCAGAAACCCGTTTTCCACAAAACTGAAATTAAATGACATATAAATCACATTTTCAGTACCCACTCTATTCTCAGAAACTCTACATTACGAACTGATTCTAACGGAACATGAAGTCTGTTAATATATGCTCTGACCAACTTGGGTAAGCATTTAAACTCTCCCACAGTTAGAGAGTCACCAAACTGCAACTCATCTTCTTCCAAATACTCAAGTACTGGACATCCAGAAAGAAGCTCAGCGAAACATCTACTTTTATAGAAAGCAACATCATACAAATGCAGGAATTTAAGTGAGGAAAGATGAACAGGAAAAAGAGCTTTCACTGTTAATTCCCTCAGCTTGAGTACCACGAGGGTTCTGCTGCTGAGGATGGCAGATGGCAACCACTTCGATTCATACAACCAAGACGGTGGCAGAGAGATATCCAAGTGCTCAAGTCCGCGTTCTGCTGCAGCATTAATCCATACCTTGAGATTGGTAGGATCAGCTAGAGAAGAACAACACTTGAAGCGAAATGTTTGGATGGGTTGGTGCAAATCTCGCGAGAAGATAGCTATATATACTGACTGAACAAAGCGATAATAAAGCTCTTTGCTTTCGTAGTAATAATCACTATCGTCGAAGTCGAGAGTAGGGACTGAGCGCCAAAGTGGTCTCCACCTTTTAGAGAGAATACTTGTAGCAACACATAGTTTGGTTGGTAGAAAAGACAGAATATAACATAGCACTGAGTCCGGTAAAGTGCTAATTCTATCAGCCTTATTTTGAGTTTTCATAGCAAAAAAAAAGAAAGAAAAAAAAAAAAAAAAGCAATTTTATAAATAAGAGAATCTCAAAAACGCTTCTCAAGTTGTGATTTCCACAATCTTAACAAAATCATCGAATAGCCACTTCAACTTGTTAAGATCCTGCTCACCATCCCCGAGACTCCCCGTCTACCGTTTGCTGATAACAAGTTGGAGCTTGGTTTTCGAGGTTATCCGAAGAAGACGAAGAACCTACCAATTTGAAAAATTGGGGATTTTTGTGTTTATTGTAGCACTGCTTTTTTATTATTTTTTGGTACAATTGGTAGCGCTGCTTTAAATTTATATTTCTTAAATTTTTGGGTTTATTGTATCACTTAAATATTTTTGGGTTTATTGTATCACTTAAATTTTTTTAAATTTATATTTCTTATTTATTATTGGGATACGTTATTCTTGTATCTATTTTTCTGCTTTTTTTTTTATCACCTTTCAATATCATTATATCAAAATCTTAATAAGAGAGATAAATAATGAAAGTAGTTAAGGTTCTCATCTGATGATATTGGAGTATGATAGACAAAAGTAGGGGAAAAAGTAAATAGAATAACATATCTCATTATATAATTAACAATAATAATCACTTATATTTCTTGTAAATATAATATATATATATATATATATATATATATATATATATATATATATACATATATAAGAAGATTATACTTACAACCTCTAGCAATCATATTTTTTTTTTTATAAGTAAAAGTTTAAGTGGAGCTAGACACCGGTATCCTACTAGGGTCAGGAAAGACCTCCCACCATTTTTCTAGCAATCATATTTTAACTATTGATTTTCATCAATCAACTAAACAATCTCATTTAGACATCAAAATCAAGTTTAAGTCAAATTTTGCCTATTTGTAAAATGATCCCTAAATTTTACCATATTTATACTTTAACCACAAATTTTTCTAATAATTACATTTGGGTCCTAATTGATTTGTTTGGCATTAATTGTATCCTTATAAATATTATCATGTCAATTAGATGATTATTACTTCCATGTTTAGATTTCAGTTGCAATCACATTTGGTACCATTACGTTTTATGTTGTTTTGAATTGCACACGTAATGAAAAAGAATAAGTTCACTCGTATTTTAAATAAAATGATCTGATTGTAATTGAGCTTAATATTATTATCAATGCTAACAAAACCGTATTTACTTCACATTATTGATCTTTCTTCTTCGTCTTAAAAAATGTTGAGCTCATTTCTTCAAAAACGACTTAAAAAATTTCTTTTTTGAAGAAAGCTATATTTCCTCTCTCAAAAATTGTGAATCTTTCATGATCTGTACCTAGGGGTGTGCAAAATAACCAAAAAACTAAACTAAACCCGAATCGCTCTTAAAATAACCAGTTTTTAAAAACCGGTTCATGAACCGAACTAGTTTTTAAAAAGAACCAGTTCATGAACCGAACCGATTTTAGAACCACTTTAAGAACCGAACCGTTTCTGAACCGAACCGAACCGTTTTCAAACCAAACCAAATCAATTTTTATAACTTTATTTTTAAAAATTTTAATTTTTTTTCTTTTTAAAAGAGGGTTGACCCGAACTGATTCCGAACCGAACCGAACCGTTTCTGAACCGAACCGAACCACTTCTGAACCGAACCACTTTCGAACCGAACCACTTCCGAACCAAACCATTTAAACCAATTTGGTTCGGTTTTTCAAAAAATCCGGTTCAGTTCGACCCATGCACATCCCTGTCTGTACCTAAAGACTCCTCTTAAGAAAGCATTTATATTTATGTTCGTGAGCATCATCCATCAAAAAGGAAAGTCATATTCGAGATATTCCCGTGCATAAACAGTAATTCGATTTGTTGATCTAAACCTTCTCAACATCTCTCTCTCATGCTTTCACTTCTCAACAGCCATATAAATAATTTCTCAAAATTTGGGACATCTTAAACAATTTTCTTGGAACCAAAAGTTCAAAAATCTCATCTGCACACCTCTTTTTGTGTACTAAATATTTGGGGCTTTTCATGGTATATTCTTGAAACTTAAATCTCTTGCTTTGATTCATCGATATGAAGATTCATTCTAAAAAATCAAAATTCGTTAATTCATATAAGATTTTAATCCATATTGATTATCTTGAATCTTTGCATATAGCATAAATTTTTGGAGCTTGGATTATACTTAGTGTGATAGGGCATTGTAATTTCGAATATGATTTTGTGATAACTCTTAATATTGTATTGTGTGTTAAAATGATGTGTCTGTGTGTGCGAGAAATCTATCCTAGGTGTGTTGGGTCCAACCAAGACGGTTGGTGACCTTGATACTTGGCTTCAGAGTGTTTTTCAAGGCCTGGAGCCTTAAGATTCCACTAGGGAGTGTGAGTTTTTGTGTGTGAGGAGTTAGTAAACTCCTCGGTTTAGCTTGAGAAAATTCTTAGAGTTTAGAACAATTTAGGCATTACGATAGTCTTAGATATTTTGGTTGATTGTGTGTGAGAAGTGTGTTTGTAGAACACTGTTTGTGATCAATAAAATATCTGCATGTACTTCAATCTAGACGTAGCATCCCATTGCACTAAGGGGTGTGAACAAGATATATCGTTTATCTTTCTCTCTGACCTAATCTCTTAATTTTTCTAGATAGAGATGAAAGTAACACTGGTTTATGGTTTTAAAGTGTTGTAGCAGGTTTTCCTATTCTGGTTTTTATTGTATTATTGTGTTGTCACACTTAAAATATTTTTTGATATATTCAAAGTTTGTAGCCATGTATATAACTTTGAAAAATTACTAAGATACGTTTTCTGTTGTTATATTTTATATAGCATTGTGAAATTCCAGTGGGCATATAGGGACATGAAGTAAAATAGTAAAATTGTTATACTTGTGTGAGTGATAACTGAATTGGAAATTGCAAAATAAATTGAGGATTGTCAATTTAGTTGATTCGGTGTGTTACTTGAACTTATTTGTAAGAACCTGTACCGTTAAATTAAAAATTTAATTAATTAATTATGAGCTTAAATGAATAATTTCATAATTGACCTTAAATAATTATGGTAAGGTAAGAATAATTAATATAAGGGCTTAATAATGTTGAAAGTCGCTTTTCTGACGAAAAGTGCAGATATCGGTTCTGCTTCACAGTATAAGTGTGTACCGATGAAGTATCCCAGAAAATTATAATAAGTGAATGAATAATCCTAGAATAATATATAGGACTGGTATAACAAGTTTGAAGTCAAAATAATGAGAATTGGTGTCAGGACTGATACCAGCTACATAAAAGCGCGTATCGGCAAAGTGCTACGAAAAATAAAATAAAAATATGATAAATCTTAGAAAAATGGCTAGGTCCAGAATCCAAAGTTTGAGATTAAAATGATAAGCGTAGCTATTAGTGCTAATACAGTGTGTTTAAAACTTAAACAACTATAAACAGGCATGACACATAACCCTAGATGGATTCTATCAGTTTCTACGTGCCTCCGTTGTGCCTCTATTTCTGAGTGTGGTGTTCTTCCCTTGTCACCTTCTTTGTTTTCTCTTGTGAGTCGAAGAAACCATTTTTCTTCAAGATTCCTTCACCTAAAATACCATGGATAGTTGAGAGCAAACCTTGTGCATGTGGTGTCACTCCATTTCTGAGTTTCAGCCACTGTTTGGGGAGGGAAAGAGCTGATTTCTTGGATAAGTGAAGAGAGAACCATTTCCTTGGTTGTGGAAGCTCCAAGTGGTGAGCTTTGAGAAGAAAGGGCCAACCTTGTTGCCATTTTCGTGGACCTTTGTAGTCTTAACTTTGAGGCTGAGTGGTGAGCTATAAGAGCACCATTGTTTCTGTTCCAAGCCTTGGTGGTAAGCAGACCATCACCTTTGCCGTTGATTTCTATAGAAAAAATGAACCTTGATGCATGTAACAAGCTAAAGTTAATAACTTAAGGGTGGGTAAAGTTAAACACACCTAGAAATGCATGTTTGAGCTTCCGAAATCGTTAAAAACGCAACCTTGGAAGGATATCTTCGCAAAATACAAAATTTGTATCCTGTCGCGAAATATCCGGATATGGATATCCGGATATGACCCCAACATATATCCGGATATTCTGGAAATTTCGCGATGGGTACTGTTCTGTTCATACAGAATGGTACTTTGGGTTTGTGGACCCATGTTTGGTTAAGTTAAACTTCTGTAATAACTGAACTAAGTCAAAATCAATGGGATTAAGGGCTTGAGGCTTTGTGAGAAGCCTAATGACATGAAACATAAAAGGAAAACGTTGTCTTTATGTCATATACTTGTAGACAATGAATGTTGATATAATTGCTAGTATAAACAGACTGTGAGAGTGTTGTTTGTGGATTTCGGACTAGGTTGGACTCTTGAGTTGGATAGTTAGCTTGCGAGGTAAGCTTTCGTGTCCTCGATTTTACCCATTGTTGGTTCCACCATACCTCATGGAGGAATGGTTTATATGCATGATGTGTCTTTATGAAATGATATTTATTGAAATGTTATTGAGTTGTTAAGTGCAAGTGCCTTATGACATGTATGTGTTATTCCACCTAGACGGTGAGCCTGAGTATGTAGCGTCATACAAGATGGTGATTTTGTGGGTGAGGTACAAGTAGCGTCTTGTATTGTAGGTTGTAGACGTATGTAAATCCTGCATGTTTATTCTCTGGCCAGTAGGATTTTGACACACATGACATTATTATATGCTGCATTGCACTGATTTTGGAACTTATATTATTATACTGCTTTTGAACTTATATTGCCCATGTAAGTGAGCTTGGGGTGGAGAGATTATTGAGGACCCTTTGTCTTACTGAGATTTCTTTTTAGAGATCTCACCTCACGTTTGGGGCACATTTTCAGGTTCAGGTACCTCGGGGGTTGAGACCTCAGGCGGCAGGAGGCCAGAGCTTAGTTGACTGATGTATACATGATTATGCTGATATGCTTAGATGATGATTATGTTTATTGTCATTATGTTGTTATTTGAGTTGAGACTATGTTGGACTTTGTTGCCTTATTTTGTTGCCTTATTTGGTGAGCATGGGGGTTGTCCATGCCACGTTGACTTGACTTTGTTTATTTAGACTTGTGTTGTATATGAAACTTA